AACTTTTTTTTTCTTGCACGACGCGGTACGAACGTCGATATCCCTTTGGTCATCACCTACGGGAGGAAAAAAGTGTTGCTATTTGCTGTGCTGTTGATTGGCCGATTATTTTGCCTAGGGTGCGTCGTTGACCTTCGCGTCCCTCTTCCGGCGTACTCCGGGAACATTGAAGCTGACGGTGGATTCATAAATGGCCACGGATTGTTTGGTGTGGCTTGCTGGGCGTATATCAGCCACTGCTACGAATCTGCATTCGAAAAATAACCGTTGCACAAGGCACGTGTAAGGACGGATTTATACCAAGCAAATTGCATGTACAATTTTACCTGACTATTCACCAAATCACAACACGATAACACCATAGAGGTAACTCTAAGACTAGTAGATCCCGAAGAAACGTGCTCAACTTTTTGGCTCAGCTCTGGTACTATCTTCGGTTCCAAGCTAATCGATGCACCCCTCGAAACATGAGAAAAATCCACGAACCCCTCATTTTATCTGTCAAACTTTCATAGAGAATCAAAACAAACATAGTGTAGTACTAGAATTCCGACTAGAATGGAGTACGTTAATCGATTTGCATGGGACCAGCCAAGTTTAAGTCGTTAGTTTCCACCGGTTGCTAAACCTCCCGAAGAGTACCGTATTTGGTGTGTGCAAATCGTTTGACCATCGCTTAACTGTGGATCGGAAGGTTGGAAGCCGATCAAATCGAAAAGTATGCTCTCGACAAATGGACAAGAAGGTGGTAGCCATTATTGAGAAACATCAAAACCATTCAGTTCGTAATGTGGCTCGCAAGGTTGGAAAATCGTAATCATATGTACAAAAAGTGAAGCAGAGTCATGAGCTGAAGGCGTACAAAGTGAAAAAGGTGCCCAATCGTAATGATAAGCAAAAATTTGACTGCAAAAAGTCGAGGTAAGGAGCTTTTCACCCAGTTGTGGACGGCGAAACATACGTGCTCGAAGACTGCCAACAGCTTCCAGTTTTGGCTTTTTATACTGCAATGCAAAGGAATGCCGTTACCGAGTGTTTCCAGACAAATAAGCTTTCAAAATTCCCCAAAAAGTATTTGATTTGGTCATATGTAGCTGCGGACGGAAATCCAAAAGTTTCATCTCTACCGGCATTATCAACAAAGATATGTACGAGATAGAATGTTTACAAATGCGGTTGCTACCATTCATCAGAAGCAACGACACTCCAGCTCTGTTTTGGCCTGATTTGGCCCAACAAACATTGAATGTTGTATAAGAGCTTATTCAGGCAAAAATAAGCTTCTTCAGCTAAAAAATTGCTTATTCAGCTATTCATCAACTTAAATTGTTTGTTGGGTTGTCACTATTCAAAATCCAGCGACGCCGGTGGTGTAGTGGTAAGCGTGATTACCTCTCACCTCAGAAAGCTCGAGAATTTTACAGGCATACAGAACTAATATTCAAATAAGCTACGCCAAGCGAGAACAAACCCTTTTAAGGCTCCATTTGGGGTCCAAAACAACTGTGAAAAATTTGGGAACGATTGGTTGTAACCCGGCTTTCCGCATTGCGTTTGAAATTTGTATGGAAATTAGTATAAGAATTTTGTATTTGCATTTTCACCCCTACAGACCACAATTTTGCTTTAACTTGGTAACTAACCTTGCACTAAAATACCCCAAATACGGTGCTATAATGTCATTAAAAAAGTTATAACTGTTTTAATATGTATGGTTTGAATAAAATATCAAAAATCACTTTTTCTACCAACACCGAGGCCAACACTTCCGGGGTACCAATGGAAGTCAGATTCCAAAGTTTCTTCGTTGTGGTATGTTGAGATGAATGATTAAAAAACCATGCGTAGCTGGAGAGGGGGAAGCTTACTCCTAGCTGAAACAAAGCTGCAGATACAGCCATAGGCGCAGCCAGAGGGGGGCAGGGACACAGCAAAACAAAGGCTTTCGTGAAAATGGCGTTCGCTGAAATGGCATTCGGCTAAATTTTCCATAGTAAATTTTTTTTCGCCCCTCCTTAGCTCTAAACCTGGCTACGCCCTTGGATACAGCTACAAGCAGAAGCTAGCAAAATAGTTTTGGAGAGCGTTTACTCAACTTTTTCACAACCATTATTCAATTTGCCAGTCGCACTGAATAACATCACCCAATAAACGCTAATGACACTTCTATGCAAATATTTATCAACTTTCAACTTTTAGCTTCAAAACAAAGCCCGACCAACCATTTCGTTAATTTTCTTTAATTTTCTATACATCGATCTTCAAAGCCATTCATAATAAAAATCGATAGCGATCGTCACCATTTCATGAATAATTGTAAAGATGCTAAAAGTCTAATCGTGAATCGTTTATAAAGATCTTTCTCAAAATATTGCAACCAATCGTTACCAATGTTAAAATATCGATTGTGTAGCCAGATCAAAATATCGATTTCTGTTGTAAAATCAAAATATCGATACACAACTGCTGATTTTATTTGTGGTTTTTTTAACTGCATAATTTCTAGTTTCGATCCCATGCCATATGGGGTGTACTGCTTTCGTTGTTGGTTGCTAATCCTTGGGTCCACGGCTGCTGCTGATGAGCTTATCAACGACAGGCAAACACACTCTAGTATGTGATGTATTGAAATTTCTGTAAATCTTTTCATACATGAACTCAATATTTATTTGTCATAACCATCAACCAGTCAGCCATATAGGTGTAATAGAGGTCAAAAAGGTATCAATTTTCCTCATTGGGTTCCAAATGCCGAGAATCCCACCACGCATGCTATCACGGGTTATTAAATATATATATAGACATAAACTTGAAGAACTACAATGATTAACATTTGCTGCATCGTGGCTATCGGTCTTCTCGTTCATTTACCGGTAGATTGCTTCTTCCGATGAAATGCCGAATATGTCGATAAATAATATAAACATTGCCATCTGTCACCTGGTGTGTCTCGAACTCTCTTTAACCAGCGATGCAAATCGATAACAAGGAGATTATAAATGTGCATCGATGGCAATCTTTGTTGTTCTTTGTCAAAGTTCAAAGTTATGATGACATCAGTATTTAAATATTTATTGATGAATATTTGTAAAGAATACTAAAGTCTATGTGACATATCGAAATTAAAAGAAATTTAGTATGGCACCTTTATAGATTACTATCATATGACCGATGAAGTAATAATCTTAAATGTAAGTATCGATCAATAAAGATTTTTAAATGTGTACATCGAAATCATAGAAAATTTAAAGTAAAGAATTGCCGACATAAACCTTTATTTCTATATTAAGAACTTTGAAGAAGTTTCACGAACGGTTGGTCGGGAGCTAATAAAGCGAATATGTTACTTATGTGATGGTTTTTACACATCCAACCACTCTTGCTGAATAACATAAACATCAAAAGTTCTTTTTCAACAATTAAACAACCTGTACTCAACTAATAAACTGTGTTAGCACTACACTGAAGTCTTTTTTTACACGGTTTTTTACGCGGTTTTTTTACACGGTTATTTTCACACGGTTTTTTGCGATTTACATGGTACATTTTTAACGATTTCTCGACAACGATGCAACCTATCGACTTGATTGGCATACTTTAAAAAAAAATCACAATTTTTGGTGTAAATACTGAAATTTTTAAAATATGTCTATCTGGACCATAGCATGCTATTAATACAAATGGCATCAAAATCCGATTTTTTAAAAACATTTAAACATGTGAAAAATCAAAATCTCGGAGGTTTTTTTTTACACGGTACGTATCCCCCGTGTAAAAAAAGACCTGAGTGTACTTTGGAATCAATTTTACAGTCAACTAGGTTTATTTTTAGACTTTTGCAGTTTTACAGCTTTTACTCTGCTTCTTTACAAAGCTGAATTAACTAGTCGAGAAAAGTCGAGAAAGGTGTTGCTTATAACTAATTTAGATTAATTTGATTCGCAGTAAAATAAACATGATAAATTCCTCCAACAAAAAAAAGCGTTAAAAATATTGCGCATTTCCCACCATACTGGACAAATAAGCGCGTTTTCACGTATTAAAAAGTGTGATAAAAGTTTTAGTTGCAACCAACAATATTTAACCTGGCGTCAAGCGAAAGCTGTGTAGTGATTATTGGATAATCGGCTAAAGGTTGAGTAAGCGCCCTTCATGTTCATACACAACTAAACAGCAAGATAACAGCTGTATTGAAGCGAAAAAAATATGCAAAAAGAGCTTGCCCCAACCGTCACAACAGCCATAAGTAGCTGACTAAGTTCGCCAGATTTGCTTGTATGGAGGTTGAGTAAAGGTTTCCTCATATCGTATAGCATTTTAATTGCGAAAATTGTTGCCGGTTTTTGCATGAAGTTGGGGAAAGGGGGAAATTTCGAAAAGGAATCAGCACTGTCAGAAATGACGTTTGACTTTGATTTATGTGGGTTACAGCCCAAGTAATGGGAGTCCAACTAAAACGTAGCTCACTTAAAGTCACTCAAGTAACCAATAAGCCCGATAATAGCCCGATATTCGCCCTTTTTGCAATATAAGGTTAATATAGGGCTTCCACACATTATATCAGCTATATCTCAGCTTTATATTGCAAAAAGGGGCTTTTTGGTTACTTGGGTAGCCCAACGAGCGAAATTTGGCAGTACCTACTATGTGCCTGAGACGAAGCTTGTGAAGACAGTTGTCTCTTCTCCTATTTTTGGTTTTTTCTTCTACCCTTTCTTTTTTGTTTATGTTCATTTTCGAGCTGGCTGATCAAACTCGCGTGTGAATTCATCGCAATAACGATTTCATTGACCACTGAAATTATTATTCATTCACTAGAATGTATAAGCAAATTGAAGTGTGTTTGTGCAAAATATATGAAAACACGTTCTCAGAATTCAAAAATATATCAACAAATAAATTAAATCACCGTTATCAGCTTCGTAAGGCTAAAGTTTGGTCGATTAACAGAATTATCTCCTTCGAATATATAGGGCAACGCTTGATCAGTGGTTGTTAAGAGTTTGAGCTGAACGGATCACAATCGTGCAGAGTGGAAATTGCCAAGCTATTAGAATATTGATTCAAAATGACAATGTTTTCGTTGCTGGTAGGTTTTTAAATATAATTAAGTACGTTTTAATAATATAATATATCATCATTGTCAGGTGGCTTTAGCACTAATTGTAGCAGTTAATGCTGCTGAAGGAGGGATGAATATAAATATAAAACAACCAAATGCTCAAGTATATCACCAACAGAATGCGCGCAATGGTAATGGAAATCGATATGCTTATAATAAAATAAAAAATTTAGTAAGAAATTCATCAAAATAGATCAATTCAACTACGGCTACCACGTGGACACGGTAAGCAATCAGTTCCAGCATAAGGTTAAAGGGTCCGACGATGTGACATATGGTTGCTATGGCTATGTTGATCCTTCTAATAAGAAGCACCTCGTGTATTATGTTGCGGACCGTATGGGATATAGAATCATTTTTCCAAATCGTCCAACTAAAATTTTTACTGAGAGACTGTCCGACAGTTTGTAAGTATCAGTTTTTTTTTATTAGGGGTAGCTATGATTACTTATCTTCCATAAAATTGTAGGAATAAACTTGATGGATCAGTGAAAAGCAAAGACTATGATGAGAAAGTCGTCGCATGGAACGATCTTTATCTACCTGATGCGTGTTTCCGCTTGGATGAAATTCTATCTTCGGCGGCTTCGGATGTACAACAGCAAACCGTGCGACCCGAACGCGTTCCAGTTCCTACTTCAACAAGGGTTGAACCGATCTATGTGCAACCTGAACTGCCGAATCCTACACAATATACCATACCTACCACTCCTGCTACAAGCTATGTCCATTCAAATCAACACAATGATCGATACACGGGTGAGACTTATACGGGTCAACAAGTACGTGATGGTGATTTTTCAAGCGGTAAGAATTTTATACATTAATGTTACATGTAGACCTAACTCATATTTTCTGTTTTACTAAGGACGAGGATCTTATGATCAAGGAGGTAATAATAACAATTTGGAAGGACAAACCGTCCAGCAGACAGTCACGACATGGTCCGGTACTCTGCCGGACATCAACCCGGCTAGTATCAATCTGGACCAGTTCAATATCCACGCTACATTCAATTCAGCTGGTTCTCAGTTTGCTGCCCAGCAACAATACGGTTTGAATATAACCCAATTGCTTGCTCAAATCGAAGCTGTTAATTCGCAAGTGATTACACTCAATATGCTGCTAGCGGGAATGGCCAACAATCCAGCGTCTTTCAGTAGTGCCAACGAGGGAAGTTGCAATACGGTAGTTCAACTTCTTCGAAACCAGAGGACAACACCACAACTCGTCTACGTACCTATTCTGATTCCTTACGTTGAAGGTCAACACAATGTTAATCAACCCTTCGGCCATACTGCTGAACGTTATCAGCAGCAGCAAAAACCGTGTCATCGCTGTCAGTGATAAGGAACATTATTGATGTAGAATAAAATGGCTGTTTGTTCTTTTATGTAATATGGCAATTTTTTAAATTTGGAATCATGTTTGAACACAAAAGGGAACTCCACACAGAAATTGACAATACTTCCGTCAATATGGTCAATATGGTATTAACTCTTCGAGTCCCAAACAAAGATCACAATTTTACTATTTTTGAAATATGTTTGGTAGATGTTTGTTTTTTATCTTGTTGAAAAGGATATTAGTTCTCCTCTCGTATTGTCCAATTGATCATGTCACATAAAGAAAACTAAACTAAACTAAACTATAGAAAATAGTTGTCCTGCAGATCCTGAAGGACCAGAAGGTGTATCAAATAGCATATCATTGTTATTTACCTTTTATTTTATTATAATATAATATGATCTATGTTTTTCAGAATTGGATTATCCAGAGAATAAATTGGACATCATCATACATTGGGTCTATGTTTTTAAATTGTTTTACCTTTGCAGAGTTTTGCTATTTTAAAAATTATTCGTGGATACTTGTTTTTATAACTCTTGTATGCTCAAATAACCTCGATTATTTAGCAAATTGATTATTTACTTAAATTGTGGATTTATTATCTAGGAAAAGTTGAGTTCAATCATACTATGCAATTAAAATATTCATATATAGCTTGAGTAAAAAAAAAAATGGGTGACTAAAATCGAGGTTGTTTGTATTTTGTTATATTTTATTAATTATATATCGACGAGATGGATCCGGAATGTTGACGTTTGTGTTTGAAGAAGATACCTGCGATGGGTCGAAGAAAGTCTACGAGCAGTCCGGTTTATGTTGGTGCAGCTCCACTTGGATATTTGGGTGAGATCATTCCTTTTCATTTATTTATACAGTAACCCCTCCCTATCGTTAGGACATCAATTCAGCTTATCGTTTACCAAATCGAACCCTGCTGCAAACCCTACCCTCTACCCTTACCAGTGATGGAAAATTTCATCAAAGTTCCCTATGACTCGCGAACTTTTCCCTTGGTGAACTTCGTGAAATATCGCGAACTTTTCCAACACTGACCCTTACCCAACATCCCAGTGATTCCTCGTGGAAGTCCAGAGGTTTTCTCGGCTTCCATCAAAGTGAGTGTCACGTCAACAGACACCATTCCTTTCTTGACCTGCGTTCGGGTGCGGCCGTCGCTGGTATTGCCTAGTTTTAGATCACCAGTTTTTACACATTGAGGATGATTGCTAGTCCCAAGCATCGTCTATTGGTTCTCTGTGTAATTACAGCCAAATCGTGTTGCATTGTGTTGCATTCGATGCTCCGGAGGATATTTGAAAGAAGAAATTATCGAAATTTGTAGTTTCGTTATTATACCTGTGATCTTGACATTTTTACCTAGGGGCAGGGGATGAGTACTTAAGAGGGTTAGGTTTTTTGATAAGTGCCCACCCCTCATATGATTTCCCGCAAATTAATAAAGGCGGGGTCGAAAGTATCTTTTGTGCAGAATATGTGAAAAAGGAGGGACTTCAGCTGTCAATCTAAATGCATATATAGAGGTACTAGACATGTTTTGCAGTGTCAGGTGCTCTATTTTGCAATCAGTGAGAGGGAAATCACAAATCTTTTTTGTCCTGGATATCCATCCAAGTGTATTATTTCCTCTTTTCCAAATTTATTTATGAGGATTTTTGCTACTTACTACGAATGGAACAGCGCCATATGTGTAAAAATTAGCCTAGACTTAATGGTTCATTTGAATCTATTCTGTCCGAAATTTTAATCTTATCAAAGGGAAGTGTCCAAAGTTTGAATCTTGGTAGGTCTAGTTAAATAATCGTTAAAATCGTTATAAGTGCTTTTTTGTTACTTCATACGTGAAAGTTTACAATTTTCATAGTTGGTTGGAAATGCTATCTAACATGAAGCTTTTAGTAAACAAGAATTGCATTATAACACACCACCGACTGGAAATGCTTTCCAGAAACGTGGGGCTTTAGGTAGAGATGAAACGTCGCTAGAACTATTCCACAGCCGCAGACAGTATATGAGCAAGTCAAACACGCAATCTTTTGCCTGTAGATTTGAAAAAAATACTTAAAGTCTCCTCAAGTACTGTCGCATTAATGGCCCTTCGCTCATATTCAATTTTGATACTGCCGAACACTAAAAAATTGGACAAATCACATTTTGATTGAAAAGTAATCATTTTAAGTTTAACCCAGTTTAATCATGCTGACTTTCTAAAAACTAGTCAAACTTGATTGAAGTTTAGTCTTCTCTGAGTAAAATTTAATCATGTTCATGATTATTTCCATGAAAGTGTTAGATATGATTAACAGTGTGAAACCAAATGTCAAACTTGTTCATAACCTCGTTTGCGTTTGTTTTGGTGTTTTTGATTCTGCTGTGCGAGTGCTGTGGTGTTTTTCGCGGTAATTCCGGATATTTATTGCAGCCATGGAGGATATTTTCGCTGCCATCGGTAAAGATACAGCGGAAGTGCTTAAAGGTAAGATAGAATAAAAAAGAAGTCATTTCTCCATAAAAGTGCTCGTCAATTCTGCCGGCATCATTCAATCATTCGTTGAGGAAAAAACCCGGAAGTTATCAGAATTTCAAAAAACGACTTTATTTTGGAACAGCGTTTTTTAATACATACCTGCCGACCCCGTTTAATATATACCTTTTATAATTCTAGGTGGAGTACGTGTTCTATTAAAGCTGAGAAAAGAATTACATCAACAATTTCATTTCAGGATGCCGAGTCTAATGAATGTTCCTCCGTGCATTTATTGCAATGCACTAGCTTTCGCTATTGGGAATTATTTTGTCAACGTAGAAGGAAAAAACATTGATTGCGGGGACAGATTTTTTACAGCGTTTGATATGTTGTATAAGACATATAAAATGTATATTAGGCGTATAAATGCAGCCGAATTGCCACCGTTAACATAATGGTAGAGAGTATACGAACAGCTCTCAAGAGAGACAATTAAATCTTCATTACTAAAATAAAAAAAAACAACGCACAAAAATGAAAGTTAAGATTGTAAACAGATAATCACATCCCCAAAATCAAAAACATTCAAAAACTTAAAATTAGAAATAAATTGATTGATGATCATTTTAGTAGAATAATCGTATACTTTTTTACGCTGTTTTCTCCTTTGAATTAAAACTACCTAGTAGTAGAATTCAAAGTAGGAAACAACGTGAAAAGGCATTAAAAATAGAAATATAAAGAGAAAACACAGTTCTGGTTATGAACAACAAATGAATCAGCATCCGAAGCTTCCTTCGCCGGATAACTTCAAGCAGTTCCCAACGCTATTTTTAAGGGTAACACGGACATAATTCGAACGATCAGCATTGTACAGCAACAAATTCAATGTAAAATGATTGAAATTTAATTTCTAAATGATTAAAATTCAATGTTGCTGAAAATCTTGAAATTTTATCAAGAAATGATTGAAAATTAGTCATTAGCTATTATTTGCGATTTAATCACTGGAACATTGAACAGTAAGCAACGCATGATTATTTCGAATTTATTCACTGGCAAACTAATCTTGGTTCTGACTCAATAAGGCAAAGCGGGAAATTGTTTAGTTTTTAAGCATTTCTGATTTTATTTATTTTTGAGTGTACTCTAGCAAAACTGTCAACCTACCCCATTCAGACCTTGCTTTAGCTAATACATTATCACACTAAAGCTTCATGTTAGATAGCATTTTCAACCAACTTTTTTTCGAATAGTTTTCATATTTACTTTAAAATATCCCAGATAGCTCTATTTAAGATTAATTCAGCAATGTATGGAAGAAACGAATCTAAATAATGTGTTACTATAAAGTATATGTCCGTTTTCCGCAGCACATGCCTTAAGTGTCTGAAATATGAATCAGAACGGTATTAACTAATTGTGTAAATTTTGACAAATTTTTTTTTTTTTTTTTTTTTTTTGACTATATGTTTTAGTATTACTTCTACGTGAAGTCAACGATTTACATAGTTGAAGATTCTAATTTCAAATAACAGACTGTAGTGGTAATTTTTACACGATAGATGGAGTAGATGAAAGCATAGAGTTGATAGTTCCGTTAGAGTAGGTGTAGGCAAAATAAATGCGTAATTTTAGGATATGTTCATTCAACTTAATTTTATTTGACTTTAATGTTAAGCATTTGATAGTGTAATATAAATTAAGTAATTGCACGCGAAGACTCAAAGTTAAAACATTAAATGACTCACTGCCCTCTATTGTTAAGTAGAACCATGTTCAATCTTCTTGGCATTGACTTAACCAAGCACTGAAAAGTTTCCTGTGGTATAGAATACCACTCTTTTTGAGCTGTGGTTCATAGTTGATCCTTATTTGAAAATGCTTGACCAGATAACTTTATTTTAAGCTCGTTCCATAAATTTTCGACGGGGTTGATGTCAGGAGATTGGCTAGGCCATGAAATAACCGACACTTTGTTTGCACGAACCATACATACTTAGAAGTGTGTTTCGGATCGTTGTCTTGCTGAAAATAGCATGTTCTCTTCTGCATAAGGGAGCATAACCTCCTCCATGATTTATTTGTATTCAAATCTGGTCATGATGAAATTAATACGGAAAATCGAAAAAGATCGACAGAACGTGGAAAAACAGGCTGATGCAATAAATTTTGTAATTCTGTCGATATGCCCCAATGGTGATGACATAGCAGAGGACTGATGACCCTGAAATATGTCAAAAAAGTGAATGTTTTTAGATTTGCAGATTAATATCTTTCTTTGCCATTTCGTCATGAATATCCCATAGGCCTCCGGTTGGTTTTGGTGGAGGGGACAGATGTGTGAAATTTGGTACTATAGATCTGCTCAGATACAATTTTAACTGCCTGAGCGTGAGCTGAAGACTACAGGTACAGGTCAATATTAAATTGCAAATTCAAATGCACAAATCGAATGAAAATGATCGATCCAGTCGATTTTTGTCGTGTTTGAGATCGATTAAAAAATCGATTAATCGAACCAAAAGAATCAATCTTATGTGTTTCGATCCAAGATCGCCCATTGCTAGTTGAAATACAACATTTGGCTTCGGACCGTACTGTTCTTTGATCCACGGAAGAACATACTTACTTAAAATCCCGATGTAGACCTCCGTGTTGACCTTGTCGCCTTCTGGAATGAACCCCCGGTCCATTTGTTTGTCATCGGAAGCCACCAATCCAAACACCATAACGCTAGCAGGATGCTTAGTCAGATACACGTTCTTGTGCTCGTCGGCCACGTCTTGTACCGGAAGAGAACTAATTTACCGGTCGGTTCTGGAATTTGATACGGGATCGACGGTAAACATGCTCTCGTCGGTGAACAGGATTACCGGATTGTTTCGCTTAAGGAAGTTCAAGAATTTCTTGCGGTTGGTAATCATGTGAGTTTTTTCCGTGCCATCGACTTCGCCCCGCAATCTTCCTTTACGATCTTCCGTGCCGTAAAAACGATCTTCCGGGCCGTAAAGTCACTGATCCCGTGTTCCTTTGCCATTTTCCTTATTGAACGCACTGGATTCACCCGAATCTTCCTTTTGATACCCTCGGAACCCGAGCTGACCTCGGACGACCTGTAGCCACCTTCGCGGATAGTTGTCCTTTCTTTTCTCGGTCTAAAACCCTTTTGACGGTCCACCGGGACACTCCCACGGCGATTGAAATGTCTTTCTGCGATATTTGCGCGTGACACAAATCACGAGTACGCTGCCACTTCGTCATGGTGCAACTGTCACTAAGTAAATCATTTTCTTTTATACACAGCCTACTACGGTATGAGCTATAGGTTACGTGCATGCAAAGAAAACCAAGGCATTGTATGCACAGGTGAAGCGGAAACCTTATTTGTACGATGGTGCAAACATTATCACGCATACGGTAACTCAAAATAATAGTATATAAAAATACCGTGTATTTGTCCAGGAAACAATTTATTAATTTCTACTGCTTTGTCTCAGTCATCATATCGATCAGAAGAGACATTTCCCAACAAACAATTTGAGTTGATCAACAGCTGAATAAGCTATTTTTAAGATGAAGAAGCTTGTTTTTGCCTGAATAAGCTCTTATTCAACATGCAATGTTTGTTGGGTTTCGTGCTACAATTTATTTAAAAATTTAAAAGACGTCATTTTGTAAAAAAATACTTGAAAATAATGTGAATGATTGCCCATAACAATCAATTATAAAATGTTTCATGCAAATTGAAGAAGGTCTATTTATATCGATTCGTCATTTGGTGTGGAACTGCTCATTTAAATACTAGCCTCATATGATAGGGGTGAGCTGTCGTTTGGTGTGTATTTCAGCGATACTAATTTTGTTAAATGAGTTTGTCTACCAGAGACACCATGTATTAAGCTTAAAACAGAGATTATTCCTTAACTTTTGGCTTGTGAGAATCATTAACATCAGATGTTTAAGCGCTGAATACAAGCTTAAGAACAACAGTTATTAAACATCAGTTTTCACTGAAATCGAAATCGTTCAAACTTCAGTACTCGTATAGATTTACTAAGCAGGAAAGTTAATTGGTGTAGTTTTCTTTTCGTAAACATGACCTGTTTCGCTCGAAACTTACCACTTGATCTTCTGACTACTTCAACGTTAAGAAGGTAACAAAGGTCATTGGCCCGAGGGGCTACTCAGTTTGAGAAACCAACAGCCTGCTTACCTACTCACAAAGGACAACCAAATAAGTGCACACGTAAAAATGACTCAATATCAATATTGGTCTATGATTTCTTGAGATCCATTAATCAAGGTCAACTAAATCTGTTCGATATCGCTTGAAAGATTTTTGATATACTGCTTTCATCGAGTAGAGCCTACCTAAAACAAATCATCAGGCTCATGTTCATAAGTACAGTAATCTCTCCATATATGCGGTGACAGGTACCGTCTTCCCACCGCTGTTTCTCGGCTGTTCTTCAACCAATTACGCTAATTTTTTGTATGTGATTAGTGCCAACCATAAATAAATTGAGGGATTACTGTATCTAATTATGATCATTGGCTCATGAGTGAGCCATTTCAATGCGTGCGCCCATCACTTTTTGCTGCAGATATAATGATCGTGAAGCAGCGTGTCGTTCGTCTTTGCCGGTTTCTTTACCTTTCCTGTTAGGGGAGGGGGGAGGGTCAGTAAGGGGTGAGCACTATTTTTTTGAACTTGATATCTATGCTCTCTTTTGGTTCAAAATTGTGGTATAGCAACCCTAATAAAAATACCATAAAGGAACGAAACCCTAATTATTGAACAATTCCACAAATGGTTTGGATGATACTCCGAACACGTCTTTAAGCAAATTAACCATAATATTTTTTATAAGGGAAACTAACGAAGAAGAGCAGTTCTACGCCAACTAAAGAATCGATTTTATTTTTTCCTCTCCGAATTCCTAATGAACCAAGTTTGTGTCGAAATTCGGAAATTTTGACTCACGTCTAGATTTGAAAAATGGCATCCTAACTAACAATGTTAGCTGCAGACTAGCTGGTACATTTTTGCCTGTATAAGCTTAGCTGCAGCTGAAATTGTTTGTTGGGATTTCCCATATTTTTCAATAAATCATAGCACGAAAATGGCTAATTTAATCGAAATGACATCTGAGACAAAGTTGTAAAAAACTGGACTGACTTTTCAGAAAAAAATACACACAGGCAATAAATCACAAACTTTTCTCAAAAATGAAGAAAATAGCGTTAGTAACTTCAATAACAAAAAAAAAAGGTGCATTTTTATCAAACTTATGTTATAAGCTTTCAATTATTATTATTATTATTTAACTTTATTAGGGAGGCTTTCAGCCTTGGGCTGGTTCGCCTCCAATGGCTTTCAATTATAAAAATGCTAACTTTTATGAATTGGACACAATAAATACTTCAGACCAAAATCGTAGAACATAAACTAAATATTATTTCAAACTTTGAACTTTTCCCACAAATAATACTTATCGTTTTTTTTATGCAGATAACATATTTTTTTAGTTCAGATTTTTTTGCAGGAAAAAAAGTTCAAAATTATTACTAAAATTTACGGTCTACGATTTTGATCAATTTTGAAGTGTCTTTGGTGTCCATTTCTGAAAAATCAGCATTTTTAATAAGTTTTAAAATGAACATAACTTCTAAAATCTTGAAATATCCTTCATTTTCCTTTTAAAACTTGAAAAACTTATATTTTCCTTTAGCGACAATCAATTTTACTCTCGTTCTATACGTTGAACGTAGTGTCGGAAGTAGTGCGTTTATCGCATCATTGTGCGTCATTATTTGTGCTGCCGTACTGCCTAATGTGAGAAATGTCAAAAATCCATTCAGATGGGAGATCCCCGCTGGTTGTTTAGATGGTTATTGTGTATATGACTAAAAAATCAAAGCGACATTTCTCGCTGGCATTACTGGTCTTCTTATGCCTCTAATAATACCGCTAATAACGTCGGAAGTTGCTAGTCCGAATAGCGCGCATCGATTTAGTGCTGAAGCCACTATAAATTGAACTTGAATTCAAATTTGGCTCACAGTTTAGCTCAGCGCATGATTTCGATAGGATCATCCATAGCAGAAGTTTGATTTACTTTATGGTTTTGAACGGCGGTATAATATTTATTTATCAACATTTGGAGTGTCGCTGAAAAGTGAATGGTCAATATTAAGGAAAGTGTTAATGAGAATGAATATCACTGTGTTGGCCGTGAGTATTTTTTTTGATGGGATAGTGCATCAATTGTACATTATAATTTATTCACCATTTATAATGTCAGGTGTTGGTGATATTTTCCGCCTTGGAAGTGTACGGTGCAGACGATGACTTCAATATCGATGTGAAGCAGAAAAATGCCGAGGTTTATCATGAGCAAAGTGCAAAAAACAGTACGTACTTTATTTATTGATGAATTACTTGTTGTGCAGTGCGATTTATTTTGTATCATTTAAGATGAATTCAATTATGGCTATCAGGTGGAAAAAGAAAATAGTCAATTTCAACACAAAGTGAAAGGACCGGATGATGTCACGTACGGTTGTTACGGTTACATTGATCCGAATAACGAGAAACACTTGGTATATTACGTAGCAGATCGGTTAGGATACAGATTGGTTCCCCCGAATCAACCAACGAAAATTTTTACCGAAAGAGTTGCTAGCAGCATGTGAGAATTTTGTGGTGCATTCTAATATAAGGGCAAATTTTCATGACACTTTTTTTCAGAAATAAATTAAACATTGATTTAAAAGATAAAAAAGTGAATGAACAAGTGGTAGCATGGAACGATCTATATCTACCTGATTCTTGTCGCAGATTGGATGAGATACTGACCATAACAACGCCTCCGACGCAGTCGGGTAAAATCAACTCAACAGATTCACTTAGTCTTTTCAATCAGACAAAAAATGTGCATCTGTCGCCAAACACACCGAATATTGCTACAATAGGACCAACTTCAAGAACAATCCCACCGAATATGCATAGCTCATCTACAACAGAGTCAAATAAATTAACCAGAACAGATTCTCGAACACTCACGTCGAGAACACAAGGCTTATTTACAACTGAGTCAGTTAAATTTGCAAATGATGTTCCTCCAACAACCACAGGAGATAGAGATAGTTATCTTCACACGAAACCATCCATTGTCGCATCAACAGCAGATAACAATTTCGATCAAGGTGCAAAACACCCGATAACTTCGAAAACATCAACCCGGATGGATGGCCCGGAAGGCTACACATATGCAACGCCAAAAAATCCTCTACCAGATTGCCAACAGCAGAATTCACCAGTTCTCGGTCAATACAACGGATTTGTTTATCCAATTCACGGCGAATGCAGTACGTCGGAGTATAATGTTAATCAATTGATGATTCAAATGGAAGCAGTCAACAAGCAAGTTTTGGAACTGACCGCAAACATACGTGCCCTGCAGCAAAACAACTTGACCTCTTCGACGCCCGAAGATTCCGCTTGCCGCCAGTGGCTCACCCGCCAACAGTTTCCATTGCTGATATACGTTCCAATCCTGCTTCCCTACCTTGGTGGCGATTTCGACTCCGGTAGAAGTCAACAAAGCTTCAAAAACCCCGCGAGTTACGCGTTCCAGAAGATGTGTGAAGATTGCATAAATAAATAATTATAACACTTGATTTAGACCTTTGCGCACTGATCTATAGATATTTCAAGAGGCTTTTTTGTATGTTTGTGTTGTGCGCTCATTGATGTTGAATTTCTCAAACCAGTGCCAATGACCTTGTCTTTGCAGGGGGTATTGATTGATTGTGGATAGTCGAGAGGAGATGACCGTTGACCATATTTGTTTTGATTTTTTTTGGGAGACTTTCAGCCATCAGCTGGTTTATCTCTGTGACCATATTTGTTTGGCAATGTCACTATGTCAATTTTGTGATGTATAAGTGCTGTGTGTGCTTAATGATGATTACGGTTTGTTGTTTTCGGAAATGTCACAGGAAGTATCAAACTTATGTTAATTGTTAAATAGAAAAATATATGATTAAGTCTAAACTTGATATGACTGGAAATCACCAAACATGAATTTTGTGATTATTTATTTATTTATTTGGGGAGAAAAGCTCACCACAAAACCACATAATTTCGATACCAACAGATGATATTGAATCCTACTGATATATTTCTTTAAACTAAGTCCTAATCATACAAAACGATATTAATAATAACAGAATCAAAGTTAATCAATCAGAAACCATCAGGAAGGTAAACTGCCTATATTTGCATATCAGTCCCATGAACAAAAATTGGCATTGAGAAAATGGCAGTTGAGGTTACGAAAATCATAGTAAATGTATTGCTTATTTGTGCAATGTATAATCAGTTGCAATAAAACTGGGATGTATATCAGCGAAAAATACGACAATTCAAAAAGCAAAACTGTAACTCGACACCTATGGACGATTGAATTTCAGGATGGGATTGATACGCGATTACTTTTCATGATGAGACAAACTGAGTTGATGTTGTTTTCACATTTTTCATGATTTTTTGCTTGATTTGTTTTCCGTCGATCTTGTTTTGCTACCGACGCCGAACGGTAGCTCCCACACCTGGACCCTACATATCGACTTATCAACTCAAGGACCGGGGACCATCGGCTTTACTTTCCTCCGTGATGTTATGCCTTAGAAAACACCGGCGTTGCCGACTGGGATTGAAAACAGGACTTTTGGGGTGAGAGGCAATCACGCTTACCAATACACCACCAGCACCGCTATAGTGGAAAGCGTTATTATCTCAAAATTGGCAAAAATACATAAGGGACTGATATGCGATTATAGGTAGGTAAATAGCATTAAAAACAGATTCAAGCAATAGTGTTGTGATATGAAACATGGATTTGAATCAGCATGGTTGCACAAGTAAATAAATAGCTTTATACAGGTGGGGTGGATCATTGTTCACATTGACCACCTGGGTATGCTGTGGTTGAAAAAAAAACAAATTTGTTTACAAAAAAGATGCTGTTCGACTCCTCTTTCTTCGTGGATTGTCCTAAACAGACTTTTTATAGTAATTAAATAGATAATTGACCGCATTGGCCGCGTTTCGAGCCATCCTTACCTCAATTCTGAAGAGAATTACATGTGGAAGCGAAGAAAATGTTCAGGAGCATTCCAAAGGATACTCTGGGCATACAAACTTTGAGGATAGTTCCAAAGAAATTTTAGTGATGATTTCAAAGGAGTTCTAGAATATAATTTGAATAAGCTCACAAAAGTTCTGACAGGAATGCCAACTCATTCCGTTTCGCACGCTGAGCCGGTCAAGACGTACCTACTGGACTTGTTGTACGACCAACTGTTATTTTTGAGTTTTCCCCTCGCGAGGGTTTTTTTTTCTCACCAAAGTTAGTTGGCATAGTGTTATAAGTGCGTGAGTGAGAAAGCCGTTAATCATACACCGAGCGCTTTGATTACGGTCCAGCTTTAACTCATCATCATCGCAACATCAACATAAGCAAAATCAACACTATCGGCACACGATAGCAATAACGAAAGTGCGACAAATTGCCTACCGAGTCGACCGAGGCACAGGGTTATTGACCCAATAGGCGTTGGGTCAAACAATTACATCTCTCCAGTCTGCTGCCGCCTCAGTGTAGAAGGTTTATCCGTGTACTGGCGTGCACAGGGTGGGGCAAGGTGGGGCAATTACCAAATTACAAAATTATGATATAAAATAACTTTCTTGATAACGTGATTTCAAAAAATAATTTCATTTCATAATATAAGGGCACTGGAAACCTTTTATTGCGTCAATTCCTTTGAGATGGTGCCTGAAAATTGCATCACAAAGGTGCATGAAGGGACAACCTTCGATGAAATTTTTTTGGTTAAAAAATTGGTGCATACAAAAAATTCTGGTGTATTTTTTTTTTCAAGGTTGTTCATGGAGAGTTAAAAGAAGAGGGTAAATTTAAGGTTGAAAAAATTCACCCTTGTGGTGGTAAATCGAAGAAAAAGCTTTCTATTGAATATTTCTGGTGTAAAAATATCATCAAGGGTGTGCATGTAGGGACTTATCAAAATGAATAACTCTGGTGGAAAAATTGAATCACGCTAAAAATTTGGAGGTGCACATTTAACTGAAAATTCTGATGGAAAGTTCGCAACACTGTGGTGAATGTAGAAGAAAGGTTTATTCATTTTTCTGGTGCATAATTTGCATCGTTCTGATGAATGCAAGCTTCATTGAAAATTTATGGTGAAAAATTTGCACCATTTTGGTGCATGAAGAGGCAATGTCTGAAAATTGCACCACAAAGGTGAATGGTGAAACAAACTTCACTGATAATTTTTGGTGCATGGAGGAGCATGCTTTATTGAAAATTTCTGGTGCAAAATTTGCATCGCTCTGATAAATGAAATGAACAGAATATTTCTGGTGGAAAACTTGCACTGGTATGGTAAATGAAGGCACAAGCTTTATTTAAAATTAAGCTATATTGAAAATTTATGGTGAAAAATCTGCACCGTTCTGGTGAGATGGGCAAGCTTTTAGGAAATTTTTTGTTATTTAATTTGCATCCTTCTGCTGAATAGAGAAACAAACTTTAATAATAATTTCCGGTTTAAAATTTGCATTCTGATGATTGGAGGGAAACTGCTTTACTGCTGCTGAAAATCCTGAAAATATTTGTTGGAAAACCTGCAACATTCTGATGATAGGAGATGCAAGCTATATTAAAAATGTCTGGTGAAAATGGAAAAAGGAAATCTGCACCAAGCAGAAGATTAGAATAGCAAATTTTATTGAATATTAACGGTGGAAAATTTGTATCGTTCTGGTCAATTGAAATTATCTGGTTTAAAATTACCTGAGGGCAAGTTTGTATTGACATTTTTTGGTGTATGATTTGCAACAATCTGCTGCATGGAGGGGCAAGTTGAATTGAAAATTCCTTATGTAAAAATTGCACAGTTCTTGTGAATGGAGGGGCAAGCTTTATTGAACATTTCTGAGAAGAACCTCAAGGGTATTGAATTCTGAGGACAGTTCCAAAAAAAAAATCTGGGGATGATTTCATGAAAATTTTGCGAATAATTTCTAGTGAATCCTGCAGATAGTTTCATGATAATTTTGGAAAGAAAACCGAGAGAATCGAATTTTGAATGAAATTCCAAAGGGATGTTGAGGAAAATTTCAAGGGAATTCCAAGGGTAATTTCAAGCTCATTCTCAGAAGCATTCCTGGAGAATACAGAGGAAATTTTTCAGAAACTTTGGGGAAATTTAAGTTCCAATGTGTTCATAGAAAAAAAAAGTTCTAAAATATTCCGAAAATAATCTCAAGGACAGTTCCAAAATATTTCTGGAGAGAATTCAAAGAAAATTCTGTGGATAATTTCTAGTGCATCCTGCAGATAGTTCCAAGATAATTTCGAAAAGAATACCGAGAATATCAATTTTTGAGTGAAATTCCAAAGAAATTTTAAGCAAAATTTCAAGCGAATTCCGAGGATAATTTCTAGCTCATTCCGAGAAATTTTTTTGAAAATTAAGGTGTTATGAGAAAAAAAATCATGAAGAGTTCTAAGTATAATACCAGTGGACTTCTGAGAAGAATTTCAAAAGAGTTCTTAGAAGAGTTCTAAAAATCCGAGAGGAACCTCAAGAATATTGCATTCTGAGTATAATTAAAAAGGATTTTTGGGGAGTATTCCAAGAAAATTCTGCGAATAATTTCTAGTGAATCCTGCAGATAGTTCCAAGATAATTTCGAAAAGAATACCGAGAAAAATTAAATTATGAGTGTAATTCCAAAGCCATTTTGAGGGAAATTTCAAGGGAGTACCGATAATTTCTAGCTCATTCCGGGAGTAACTTCTGGATAATACTGAGGAAATTCTTCTGAAACTCTAAGGAAATTTTAGTTCCAAGGTCTTGTGAGTAAAAGTCAATAAGTTCTAAAGATAATTTCAGATTTAGAAGTATTTCAAAAGAGCTCATAGAGTTCTAAAATTTTTGAAAAGAACCTCAAGGAATTCTGAGGATGGAATTATTCGCAGCTGTACAAAGTTTAAAGACAGCTTTTGGATTCTCTTATTGAAAAGTAGGTATTAGCTTGCCATTGAACCTTGGTCTATTGTTGCCTTACTAAGAATTCGTCTAAGAATTTTCTATGAAAATTTCAAGAAATTTGTAACCGTGGTTAAAAAGTTACAGCTGTTTCTGTGCGTTGCAATAACTTCGGGATTGTCCATTATATCATCTTTATGTTGGCCATCATTTCCTGTCACCCCGACTGGCGGTACTTTGCGGCAGGGTTGACATGCTCAATCCTTCGCACAAGTCGTCATTCCGTTAACAATCCTGTACTCGCTTGTCAAAATAGTTTTGTGCGCTTTTTTTTTTTTTTTTTTTTTTTATAATGCGTTTATTTTTCTAGGCTCATTTGCCGTAGCTTTGCGGAGCCGATATTCATTGTTTAGATTACAAAGTTTCTAAAAACTAACGTTAGTAAAGCGGGGGCCGATTACTCACGGCTATCTCGAGGTTAGGGGTAACACATTTTAACAAATGGATGGCAGGGTAGGGATTGAGAACACAAGGTTTGGAGAGCAATGTGCTCTTGATCTCGAACTAAGCGACCAACTGATGAAAAAGACAAACATGGGGGTACACCGATGGGCAGCTAACAACTTGGGGGAACACAAGATGACAC